CTTATCCTTATAGGGTGGAGAATATTTTTCCAACCCTAATGGCCTACAGTTCTAATAATAATAAGAAAATGCTTTTCAAATCTTTGGGATCTCTAATAATAATACTAAGATAGAGATACCTCAAGTTAAAATCTAATATTGCTAATAAAACTAGCAATGATGAGAGATGCAAATTCATGTCATAAAGAGAGGTAACCTTGACCATGACGGATGGCTAGATCTACTCGTGACCTATGCTTATAAGTTCTCAACTATATGTAAAAACTAAAATTATGATTTATTTCAATGTCAACAAGTTGGGAACATAATTGATTGTACACAATAAGCCGATTAGTGTTATTAAACTTGAAATTCAATTAAGAACTTAATCTAGTAAAAGATCAAATTTAGAAAAACTAATTGAATAAGTTCAAGTTTGGGAAGCTCACAACATCTCCCAAAAGGATATTGTGGATAAGATTATCTTCACAACATAATGTTCAACAATAAACATGTCTTAATATATCTCCTAGTTAAAAAATCTGGAGTTGTTCAAATTGGTTGGGGGGATTCTAAAAATTTTATTATCAATCTAAAGTCCTCTCATTTTTCACTAAATCAAGCATTGACTGGATCACGTCAAGTACAAGCCTGGGATTAAAGATTTAGTGTTTGACGAAGAGTAACACTTTGAAAAGTGCTTCACATGAGCAAATAGACTCTGCTAATGATTGAGAATCAAAATCTTGAGAGAGTAAAAAACGTAGAGAGAGAAAGAGTGAAAGGACAGTCTTCCCCAAGGAGAGCTGGACTGTTTTCGACGATAATCTTAGTAAGAGGGTTTCAAGAGGAGAGTTAGGGGAAATATTTCATCATTATGGTCAAGTTGAAAGGGTATTCATCCCAAATTTTACAGAGAAACCGATATATAAAAATTCTACTTTTGCGTTTGTTCAGTTTGCCAGTGAAGAAGGGAGAAGGAGAGCTATACAGTTTGTTAATGGAACTTGGATTGACGGGAAAAGAGTTACAGTAGGGGTAGAAAAATATCAAAACAACCAGAATGGAGAAACTACTGAAGGCAGGACAAAGACGGATGGATCAAAGTCAAAAAGGGTTGAGAAAACAGTCGGAGAGAGCCATGTTGAATCCTTGAGAAACTTGAGGGATGGTAGATCATACAAGGATGTGTTGAAAACGATTAACAGAAAGGGTAGTGAAAATATTAATGGGGAGAATAGGGAAAGGTCAATGAAGGCTGCAAACGGGTTAAGGAATGTCTGGGAGTTGCACATCCCCTCTGAGGATTCAGAGTGGGTGAAAAGTTCCTTAACAGGGATAATAGAGTCCTCCTTTGAGCAGGAATTGGTTCAGAAAGCTTTGGCGAATGAAGGAATTCAGGTAAAAATAGCGAGATGGGGTTATGTTCGGAATGCCTGTGTCGTTACATTTAAATCGATTGAAGAGTATTCAGAAGTATGGACACATAAACAAGATGATTTGTTCTTTTGGTTTGACTGGCTGGCACCATTGCTGAACGATGAGGGAGTGCCATTGGCGTTCTGTCTTGTGGAATTAATGGGATTACCATTATTATGCTGGAATGGGGAGTTTCTGGAGAAGCTTGTTCAGAAATGGGGGAAGTTCATAAGCATCAATGATTCTTCAAAGAACAGGTCAGACCTATCATCGGCGAGAGTTCTGATCAGGGTGGCGGGTCCATTTGATGTCCTCGAATCGGTCCCAATAGGGTCTTACGGTAGATCATACAAAATCAAATCGGTTATTTCAAAATCTGATGATTTTTCCGGGGAGATGGTTGGTGAAATTTCAAAATACGGGTACAGTGAAGATGATTTTTCCGAGGAAGAGAGAGGCCGCCGATTGACTCTGGAAGAAGTTGAAAATCAGAAGCTATCTGAAGGCTCTAGGCTGAAGGTAAATACGAGGCTTGAACAGGAACAGAGGAGTAGTTTGAAAGTGGGGGATGAGGGACAGTTTCTGTCAAAAAAGTCAAACAATCTAATTATGGGCTGTCAGATATTCTTGGAAAAGGAAAATCTCCTACAGGGGATCACGTGGTACTTGGGTTGAGGGAAGAAATGGGCCTAGATTTTCAAGCCCAAGAGGATGACAGTTTGGGTTCTAATTCAGATTTGCAGAAATTGTTACCTGCAGGGCCTGCTTATAATTTAAAATGGATTGCTAGAGGGTCCAAGGGCAGATTTCTGCCCCAATTAAACTGGAAATTATATAAGTCAAATGATGAAGTTTTAGAGGAAGTAGTGGACTTGGACAACAAAGTTAGAAGAGTGGAAGAAACAGAGGAGGAAAGTGAATCCATACCAGTTCAGCCGGTTGGTAATCAGGTGCTGGAAATCAATAGGGAAATGGTCTCAAATGGTCTAAGGAGTTGGAGTCCTTTGGATCATCTGTCTAGAAGTTTGTCTATTAGAAGTGTTCCAGTTGGAAGGTGGAATAGAGGAACTTTCTCTAGAGTGTATAGAAGATCTAGAGAAAGAAAGGTATGGTTTAATCCGAGTAGAGAAGAAGGGTTATTGCAAATAGTGGAGTCGACATACCAAAACAGAAAAGCATTTAATCCTATTTCCAGCATTCAATCCTTCCCAACTTTCTTGGAGGAAGGTCTCACTTGTGTTGATGAGGAAGATGGTTTTCTTCAGAATTCAGCAGGGGACCAAGTACAGCATTCTGGGAGTGCAGAAAAGTTTAGAACAGGATGTCAGTCTGGATCAGTGGCAGGGAAAGAGAGTAGAAGAAAGAGAAGGATTTTGATTAGGGAAGCTTTGGATGTGGTCAGTTGTCCTACAGTCTCTTCATCTTTCTCGGTGTTTTTGGAGGAGGCTTTGGCTACGTGGGAAGTCAGTAGGATGCTGGGGATTTCATTCAAAGAGGGAAAGAAGGCCTTCTTGGAAAAAAATTTAAATCTTGAGGAGGGTCTGGGTGATAGTAGGGAATTGTTGAAATCAGGGGAATAGGATTCCTTTTGCTTCTTTGCTCTGAGGCTTTTGGTTTTAATTTTGTCTTTATGAGAAATATTAATATTATTTCGTGGAACATAAAGGGTATTGGGAAGAAGGAAAAATCCAGAGTTGTAGCTAATATGGTCAAGAACAACAAGCCGTGCATCCTTCTCATTCAAGAAACTAAGCTAGAAAACTGTTCTATGGTTCTTAGGAGAAGTATAGGGGGGAGATTTCTTAAGGGAGGAATTTTTTCCCCAGCTGTTGGGTCTGCAGGTGGCTTACTGGTTATGTGGAATGATAATGAATTTGAAGCTTTCCTTTAGCAGCTAGCTCATCAAAGAGTGGCAGTCAAAGTAGAGTTGGTTAACAGATGAATGTTCCTAGGTGAAGATATCCTTTGTCCATTTTGCAAGAAACATGAGGAATCAGTGCAACACTTGTTTATTTCATGTTACGTAGTTTGGGAATTATGGAATAAATTAGTAAGCTTTTGGGATTTATACGTTGTTTTACCACAGGACCCTCCTTTTCTTAGCTCTTGGAGTGATTTGAGGGTGAATTCGTTGATTTGGAAGTTTATTCAGGGAATCCTATTTTGGTCTATTTGGAAAGCTAGGAATGCAATTGTGTTTGAAGGATTATCTCTTGACAGGCTGTCTCTTTTTTTCATTGTCAGATTTAGGATATCTAAATGGTTTCTAACCAAGTTCCCTAAGTTTCCTATACAGGAGGATGTGCTGATTGGCAATCCATCTCTTGCAGATGGTATTTCAGTTCCTAAAACTAAGGGTTGTTCTGTGCTTTGCTGGCTCCCCCCTCCTGTTGATTTTTTTGAAGATGAATGTTGATGGAGTTGTAAGGTTAGATGGTTCGGTTGGAGGTATTGGAGGTATTTTAAGAGACTGGAATAGCAGCACTCTTCTGACTTTTTCAGAGAATATTGGCCAAGGTCCCCCACCAGTTGCTGAATTAAAAGCTATTAAAATAGGCATTGAAATCTTTATGTCTTCACGTTGGGTTTCCGGTGGTAGGTTGATTGTTGAGAGTGACTGTAAGTCTGCAGTGGAGTGGATTCAGTCCCCGTCTTTGGCTCCAGTTTTCTTCTCGCCTTTAGTTAAAGAGATTTTGTCACTCATCTCTGAAAAGGTGTTGTTAGTTAGGTTGATTCCAAGAGCTTGTAATGGGGAGGCAGATAGTTTAGCAAAGAAGGGGATTGGTTGATTGTAAGGTTAAATTTGTATGTTATTTTCTTTTCGAGTTAGTAGGTGTTTGTTGTGGGTGGAGTTGTTAAAGTCTTATGTAATTCTGTTTGGTGTAATTGTTAAGTCTTATGTACTTCTAGCATATTAATAAAATGAGGTATTCTTTTCCTCTTTCCGCTAGTTGATTCTTTCTTTCGGGAAAGGGTATCTATGAGGGAGGTTTTTAACGAGGCCTCCTACTTCTATAAAAAAAATGACCAGCTTTAACCGTTAAAAATTTTAGTTGAATTGTGTAACTTAAGGTGAAAGAATGCCCTCAACTAAAACTTTCATCTTAACCCAAACTCATACCATGCTTATCAATGGTAGCAAGATTTGATCTTTATAGGGAAGGTTTAAACAAGCTTTTAGAAACTAGAACTTGGGGCAAACCTCTACATAGGTCATTGCTAGTTTAAACAAGCTTTTAGAAACATCCTTGAGTAAACATGAAAACAAAACAAAAAAATATACCGACTAAAACATCTCACTCAACCCAAACCTTACATTGGTTACCAAGCACCTACAAGAAAATTGAATATCTAAACTCCGATGCATAACATTCTAGTAGCTAAGTTCACTAAAGAATATAAATTTATAACTAGTAACTGAAAGAAACAAAGATAAAAACAAAAAGAATAAATATACTCCATGAGATAACATATTAATATATGAGACTTCAATTCTTTTTACTGAAAATGAAAGATTTCCATCCAAACTTCATATATCCCATTTGTGTGAAAAAATAATTCTCTATTCAGTTTTAACCTACAGAAAAAGATGCAATCATAAATATACAAAAGAAACAAATACAACATTTTAAAGGGAGTGAAATTATGAAATAGTACCACACAATGAAATGTAGTATTCATAAACAAACAATGATGGGACCCGAGAAATAACTTACAAGTTACAACATATGCTATCTTTAGCCCTTCTTACCCATAACTCTACCACCTATCTTGTTTGAATAACTACAATTGTTCAATCAATATTAAGTGCGTCATGTAAGAATTTTACCCTCATATAGCAGTCGTAATAAATATCAGTAAGAGGGATAAGAAATTGGGTCACTTGTTTCGTAACGTCGTGACCTAGGGCGACTAAAGCTATCCAATGTTGCCCCCAAAACCCTTCGACTGTATTCATAATTGGTATCATTGAAATGTGATCCATACCCATTAGAGTGGTGAGAAACACCAGGTGGAGGTAACACTGGATCAAAACAAACTTCTTAGCACTCATGGAGCTAAATAGGCAATCAAGTGACATTATCTCTAAAACAAAGAAGATAACAGACACAACAAACAAGAGAAAAATTATCACCTTGGGTGTAACGAGCGCGATAATCTGAAACCCTAGAAGGGATTGATGACCTCTTAAGTTGCTGAGAGACTTCCATGTGGTTAACTACTTCATGGTGATGCCTTGACTTGTAGGATGAATTTGTAGCAGGCATGGCTGCATAGGGAGGGTTCTGTGAAGTCTTGTCTTGCCCAGAAATCTGTTAGGGATTTCAGCCACTATTTAGATACTTATACAAACAAACTAGGAAGATCAAGATTATGAATCACACAGGAAACAAAAATATCTCCAATTACACAGTTTAATAGCTAATTTGCACTAAATCTGGCGTGCACTTGTTTAGGCACAAATTCAACATAAAAAAAATGAACTTACAGCAAATTTCAAGGTTCGTTTACAGAGAGTAACAAGGCCAGAAAAAAGCCTGACAGCATAATCAGCAACTTCCCCATTTTCGAATTCCACAAAGGCAAATCCTTTGGGCTTATCGGTTTCCTTGTCTCGAGGGATATACAAATCTACTACCCTCCCTGCTTGGATAAGAATATCATATAGAACTCTGTCGCTTACCCTCTCATCCAAATTACCTTTCATTCCCCCAACCCCCAAAGAAACAGGTAAGTTCAAGACCTAAATTAAAAAAAAATATATACATAAATAAATAATAATAAAGATACTGATTCTTAAAGCAAAAACCGACCTATGTATACGCTGCAGCTAGAATTCCCTGACATAGTTACTGGAAATACCTACAGAATCAACGGCAAGCAATTTCCAACTGCAACACCACAATAATAATAACCTTAGGGATGTTCCGATGTGGAGTATGAAAGGGGACTATTGAGATAAGCTTTATAGGCCGTAATCGGAGACTTGAGTAGGAAGCAATACCAAACTTTCAATCGAGATCCAGGGCATCTTAGGGGTTTTTTCCTGGAAGAATTTATCTGGATCAGGTGAGAAGGGAGGACAATGCGATTCGCTGGATGGAATTTGGTAAATATCCCAGTTAGAGGCAACCGGAGACGGAGACCAGCGATGGACGACGGTTCCGGTGGCCGATCTATGGGATTTCACGCTGATTTTGATGATTCAACGCTAGGAGGGCTATAGAACGAGGGAGAGAAACAATAAACAAATAATGGAAGGTGAAGGGGTTCGAAGTTTTGACTTCGCTAACCGAAACTTTTTCTTTCATTTCAATTCCTAAAATAATAGTGTCAACAAAAAAGCCTGAGCCAATGACAATGCACCACTCGGTAATCTATTAGAAAAAATTGAAAAATGATAAAATGTATAAAACTTCTAGGGTAAATTATATGTTTAATACCTAAACTATCATTTTTGTTCTGTTTTAGTAACTAGATTTTATTATTATTTTCAAAATCATATTTAATGTTTAGTTTAGTTTAGATTTTAATTTGATATCTTGAGTTAAAAACTTAACAACACCAGCGATGTGGAATTTACATTACAAGACACGTGGAATATCAAAAAAGGGAAAATAGTTCCACGTCATCACTATCACTAAGTTTTTAATGATAGGTACCAAATTGAAACTTAAACTAAATATTATGTATAATTTTAAAAAATAAATTTTATTACTAGAATTGAATAAAATTGAAGTTGAAGTACTAATATGTAATTTATCCAAAATTCTAAATATATACACATTGGAAATATGAAAAACCATTAAAAAGGGGAAAATTGAAAGAAAGAATCCAGATTTTATGGGGATTCAACTTGTTAAAATTGAAAGGAAATTATTACAAATCAAATATTGTGCGGTATCACTCTTAATTTATTTTTATCATTTAATTATTTTTAAAAATATATATATTTAAGATTATGTTTTAATTTCACTTTGATCATCATCACTAAAAAATTAACAACATTATTTAAGATTATGTTTTAAAAAATATATTTTATTTTTTTCAATGGTGATATAATATTATTTTATGGTGACATATCAGTATTGTAGACACTCATTTTCATCTGGGACTTATTTAGTATATATAATGAAATAATATAGTTTTTGAAAATATTTTTGAAAAACATACAATATATAGTTTTTAGAAAACGGTTTTTGAAAGCAATATAATATATAGGTTTTTAAAAATTGGTTTTGGAAAACATATAATATATAGTTTTAAAATATTTTTGAAAACGTATATATAATATAATTTTTGAAAACGTATTTTTGAAAACATATAATATATAGTTTTTTAATATTTTTGAAAACATATAGTATATAGTTTTTAAAATGGTTTTTGAAAATATAATATATGTTATATGGTTTTTCGTTATTATTATTATATTATTTATATTATTATTTATTTATTTATTTAACCATTTCAGGTCCAAATCAAAAGTAGGATCCAAGTCCAACAGTCCAATCGGGTCCAACAATCCAAGAGGCCCAGCAAGGAGCACAACCGGGCAGGCAAGCCTGACCCAGCAAGCCAACCTGGTGAGCCCAACAAAGCTAGAGTTATGATGTTTAGCAAAGGGCGTCGCAACACGTCAACCGTTAGATCTAGCCCTCGTGATCTAACGGCCCAGACCACATCAGGAGGGCAACGGGTAATGCGTGAGAACCAAGCGCCAAAAAGGTCGGGATTTCCGTCACTGAAATTCAAAAAATCACAACACCCTGGGACTAAAACATCCCTAAAATTTTCGTCCAACAAACCAACATGAAGAAATCGAAGCCCTCAACCCCGAATAAATTGGGAAACAGGGGTAAACGACCCCCGAAGCGAACGAGATTAACCCCGTAAAATCATTTTGAGCATGGCTATAAAAGCCCCTGCAAAGCACGAAGGAAAACACGAAAAGAAACTACACAACAAACAAAAAATCAACCAAGAGACACATTCGAAAACAACAAATAAAGTAAAAAACAATTAGTGCTTGTGTCAGTTTTGGCTCGAGAGAAGAGGAGACGCCGAAACTTGAAGGGACGCCGGTTTCAAGGGGCAATTTTTATCAATCAAATGAAAGTAATTTGAATCAAATATTTAAATTTCAATTTAACTTTTAATTTTCGCAATTAAGACAACCGAGAAATTAAATTCGTACCGAAAGAGCAATATAAGGGTGTTAATCATTCATTGGCTGTAACCGACTCCTGAATCCGACATATTTTTGGTAAAATGCATATCAGGTAAGATGATAAATTAAGGTGTCCGGTCAATATAATTTTAAAAACAAATGATCGGTGACGGCTCTAACATGTTTTATTTAAGTCGAAGCTCAATTCTGGACCCAACCGAAAGACAATTACGACAAGTAACAATAATGATTTTTTAATAATAATTTACAAAATTGAAATCAAAACGTAATATTAAGTATTGTAAAAAAAGTTAAATGACCAAAACTAAACAAAAGTAATAATTGGATACTAAAACTCCTAGTATACCTAGAAATGTTAATTTCATTAAAAATTAAAATATTTTTTTAAATATAAGAAGGTGTAATCCAATGCCCGTTTATGTAGAATCAGTGTCATTGACGGAAAAAAATTAAAATGAAAACGTAAAAAAGAAGAAGAAAAGAGATCCTGTTTCGTCTTTCTCATTGATGTGTTGCTCTCAGCGATCCCTTTCTTTTCTCTCCTCTCCTCTGCTTTTGATTTTCTTAAAAGAAGAAGGAAAACACAGGTAAATAAATTTCTCCTGCCTTCTTTATCCTAACTCTCCACGTCCTTCTCTTGCGAGCATTTGTATTAATAGCTTGATGGATCATAAATCGGCTAGTTCATTTTTTTATTCGATTTCCCGACTTCTTTATCCTAAACTCCTAGTTTATCTAGAAATGTTAATTTCATTAAAAAATAAAATATTTTTTAAATATAAGAAGGTGTAATCCAAGGCCCGTTTATGTAGAATCAGTGTAGGCTAATCGCTGCCCATTGACGGAAAAAAAAATGAAAATGAAAACGTAAAAAAAAAAAAAAGAGATCCTGCTTCGTCTTTCTCATTGATGTGTTGCTCTGAGCGATCCCTTTCCTTTCTCCCCTCTCCTCTGCTTTTGATTTTCTTAAAAGAAGAAGGAAAACACAGGTAAATAAATTTCTCCTGCCTTCTTTATCCTAACTCTCCACATCCATCTCTTGCGAGCATTTGTATTAACTGCTTGATGGATCATAAATCGGCTAGTTCATTTTTTTTATTCGATTTCCCGCCTTCTTTATCCTAAACTCTTAGTTTACCTAGAAATGTTAATTTCATTAAAAATTAAAATATTTTTTTAAATATAAGAAGGTGTAATCCAAGGCCCGTTTATGTAGAATCAGTGTAGGCTAATAGCTGCCTATTGACGAAAAAAATGAAAATGAAAACGTAAAAAAAAAAAAGAAGAAAAGAGATCCTGCTTCGTCTTTCTCATTGATGTGTTGCTCTCAGCGATCCCTTTCCTTTCTCTCCTCTCCTCTGCTTTTAATTTTCTTAAAAGAAGAAGGAAAACACAGGTAAATAAATTTCTCCTGCCTTCTTTATCCTAACTCTCCACGTCCATCTCTTGCGAGCATTTATATTAACAGCTTGATAGATCATAAATAGGTTAGTTCATTTTTTTATTCGATTTCCCGCCTTTTTTGGTTCTCTTTTAATTATTCAATCTTTTGCTGTTTTATGTTTATCGTAGTCTTGATTCTTTTTTTCCCCTTTTCTGTAAATCCGAATCCCCGAGAAAGTTAGATTCTCTTGTAGAAAAGTAAGAAGCGATTATTAATTGGAATTTTTGTTTGCTAGTGTTTTTTTATGTTAATTGAATTACATAGCTTTTTCCAGGATGATTGTAGTATTTATTGCATTTGCTTGCATTTTCTCTTTTGGGAGAGTTAATGGTCTTCAAATGGTTATAGTAACAACAACTTTATGCGTTGAATTCTTGAAATTTGAAATAAGGGAGGCTGTGCTTTTCATGCTGATAAGTCCCTATTCTTGTTGTAAATGAATTAAATTGATTTACTTTGGCTTGAATTTGTACCTTGTCAGATGGGGTAGTTGTAAGTGAGATTAGCAGGAGGGATAATGAAACAATTGCCATGCAGATCTACTACCGTGGTTGGGTTATTTCGCAGATCCAGTAATTGCACCTTTTATCGTGCGGAACTTGCAAAAAGGCGTTATCAGCTTACTGATATAGAGTCTTTTGGTCCTTTCAGTTAAGTTGGTATCGTCTTTACAAACATGCCATATTATATACAGAGGCTTTATAATACTTGCAGAACGTCATTCTCTCCCAATGGCCCTCTTTCTGATGAAGCTCTTGAAAGAGTTCGTACTATGCTAGGTATTCACTGTTGATTCTTTCTTTGTTCCTGTTTGTTCTTTGAGCTTATGATTGAACAAGCCTGCTATGTTTTATTAGTTATTATAACTGAGATATAATCATGTTGAAAGTAATTCTTAATTTTCTGTATGTTATTGGAACTAGTAGTTTGTAAATACTATGGAAGCTAATGTTTGTAGCATTTAGCTGCGTTGTTATTTTCCAACAAAATTGAAACATGTGATTTATTATCAGGTTAATTAATTTAATTCAGTTGGATCTTTCTTTGGATGACATCAGCTAACGAAGTTGCTTCATGCAACTCCTAGTATCTTAATTTCTTGGAAAGTGCATGATCTGCCTAGAAATAGTCCCACACCATTTTGCCGATCAGAATACCAAGTTTCCATGTGCCTTAGTAATTAAAACCAAAAAAATTTATCCGTCATTTTTGGGATGTTAAGCTTGTTTTCTTTTAAGTTCAAAATTTTGTCCTAGGAAGATACTCTGACATAATTTAATTGGTAAAATGTTTCCAGATTTCCACCAAATTTAATTACAAAACCACGGACTTTTATTGACAAAGTTAATTTTAGTAGTGTGAAAAAATTGCTATCCCTCCCAACCAGACCTATTTCAGAACTTCATTATGCTTTTAAGGAAGTAATCTTCCTTTCTATTATTAAAGTTATTTTTTTATAAGAAGGAAGGCCTCGTTACAAACTTCCTTCATAACCGTCAAGCAAGAAAGACTCAACAGACATTGGAAGGAAGAAAAGAGTGCCTTAGAAATTTTATTGCATAAGAACCAAGTACAATAAGATCAAACTACCACCCAAAAACGATGGCAGCTCACTCAACACAGTGCAAAACAACACTACCTACATGAATATGTTTATACCCTACAACAAAACTACCTTATAGGTTAATCAACCAATTACAAACAAATATCATTCCTTATTGTTCCCGATATACCAATAATAGAAAAACAACAACCCAATTAATTCCCCATCATTTAACCAATCCCTTGTTTGGCAAATTCATTCGCTTCACAATTAGCTACTCTCGCCACATAACCCGTAAGAGGAGGAGACCAACTGACTACCTTTTGTGATATTTTTTCATTGAACATAACACGATCAGCTAGTACCAGATCCCCCACAAGACTATCGAAAGAGACCATTAATTTAGGAAATTTTGAAGAAAATCATGATGCCACTCTATACCTTGATAGAAAAGATAACAAAGTGCAATCTAATTTCCTATTATTAAAAATAATATCATTCATCATTTTCCAAATTGACCACAAAACCGCTCCTGGGATGAAGGCCCAAACGCATGAGCGTGGAACAAGATCAAACCAAACTAAAAATAAGGCTACAGGGCACTCTGGAATTGCAAAAGAAACCTCCCACTGGCGTAAAAAGCTAGCCAATAACCCCCAAGACACTTTGCAAGAAAAGAATAGATGAGAAACCGTTTCTTGAACCAACCCACATAACAGACAATAAGGATCTCCTATACCTTGTAGCCCACGTTTTATTAACTCTACCTTGACCGTAACCTTATTGTGCACCACTTTCCAAATAAAATATTCAACCTTAGGAGGAGTTAAACTGGCCCAGACATTTTTTTCCCAGGGAAAACTATCGAACGAGGTTCCAAGAAAAATTTCAAGACAAGATTTCACTGGAAACATCCCATCTCATTCTCCCGCCCATAGAAGACTATCATCCATCGATGACGAATGATTTAAATTATACAACAATGGCATAAGCTTATTCCACTGCATTAACTCTTAATCGACAAGGTTTCTCTTCATGGCAATATCCCAGAAACAGCCTGACGAATTAATTTTCCTGAAATCGGCGATCTTTCCCTCTTTGTTGATTGATAATGTGAGCAAGTGAGGAAAATGTACCCTCAATGAAACTCCGTCCAGCCAAGCGTCATGACAGAATCTTATTGAGACCCCATTGCCCGCCTTCAACAGAAAGTTACTTCGCAAATATTCCCCAAACTCGTCATCAAAACAAAAATTCTTCGCAACCCCTTTCCATATCCAAGAAGCTTTGTAAGAGGTCGAACTATCCACCCCCATAGTATTTGAATTAATATTGTTTTTGCAACAAATTATCCTTTTCCACCATGAGTTTTTCTCGTTGACAAACTTTCAGATCCACTTTCCTAACAAAACTCTATTCATAAGCTCAAGATTTGGAACCCCAATCCCTCCCAGTGCATTAGGCTTGCAGGCAATCTCGCAATTAACCTAATGATTTTTTTTAATACACGACTTCCCCCAAAGAAAATTTACCATAATTGAGTTTAGCCTCTTCAGAACACACCTCGGTAATCTAAAAATCGACATGAAGTATATTGGTAAAGAGCAAAGAACCGATTTAATCAACACCACTCTACCAGCGATGGATAGGGAGACAGACTTTCACCCGGTCAATTTTTTGTAGAACTTTTGAATAATCGGATCCCATAGAGAAACTGAGTTTTTCTTCAGCCCAAGAAAAAGCCCCAAGTATTCCGTTGGAAAAGAACCCACTATGCTCCCTATTGCAGCAACCCACTCAGAAATAATCTCATCGTTCACGTTGATACCGAATAACCTACTCTTTGAAAGATTAGTCTTCAATCCTGACATCAACTCAAAAATCAGAAGCACCCTTCTTACTTTTTTCAATTCCCCAATAGTTACATTACAAAAAATTAACAAATCATTTGTGAATTGAAGATAAGAGAGCTCAAAAGAATCTCCCGGACTCCCAATCTCAAAACCTCTAAACAAGCCTAACCTCACAGCTTTTGACAACATCAAGCTCAATAGTTCGGCAACCAAATTGAAAAGGAGCGGGGAAAGAGAGCAACCTTGATGAAGACCCCTCGCAATCCAAAATTCATCTGATGGAGAACTATTCACCAACACCGAAATGGGAGCCGTAGAAACATATTTTCATCCAAGATCTCCATCTCTGACCAAACCCATGCAATCCACTAATTTCAATAGCAAATTCCAATTGATTGAGTCATACACTCTTCGGAATTCAACCTTAAACGCTACTCCTTGAAGACCTTTCCTCCTCCAACAATATATCCCCTTATTCGCGATAAAGGAACAATACGTGATTTGCCAACCCGGAATGAAAGCAAATTGGGAAGGGCTAACTATTGCATTCATACATGGACTCAATCTTATGGAAACCACCTTTGACAAGATCTTATATAGTTCACCCACAAGGCTTACCCTTTATCCCAACTTTTCCCTGCAAAGAAATCACAAAAAACTTCATGTATCCTCTTTTATTTCCTGCTAAAACTTTTTGAAGAACCCCATTATCAGCCCGTCTGGTCCCGGTGCCTTGTTGCTATCCGACGACGAAATTGCATCTCAAACTTCTTCCGCTGAGAAGAGTCTCTCTAAAAATGAATTATAATCTACTGAAATCCTGGAGAAATTAAACTCCATCGCCTCCACCTCCACTGTAGGGTTCTTATTGAACGCTTCTTTGAAATAAGCAACCACATTTTCTTTAATCTCATCAGGATTCGACGTCAAATGCCCCCCCCCCCACTTTCAACACTTTAATAACATTCACCCTTCCTATGTTTGATACACACATATGGAAAAATCTAGTATTGCGATCACCCTCCAAGCACCACTTAACGTGATTTCTGTAACCACACTGCTTCTACGTTTTTTATATAGATCCCAAAGATTCCTTCTAGCCGGACCCAAAGATTCTATAGAGATAGTAGTGGAACCTTGTTGCATTTGCAGCTCTGATTCATGAATTATTTTTTCCAACTCCACAATTGATCGTTGCATACTGTTGAAACTGAATTTTGATCATTCCTTCATTACCGGTTTGGAACTTTTAAGAATACTGTATATTCCTTTCATTCTACTTCCCAGCCTTGCTCTCTGGAATTCCTCAACCATTCTATCCTTGAAGCCATCTTCGTCCAGCACGTAATTGAACAATCTGAAAGGTTTTGGGCCCCAATCCAGGTCGTTACTTTCCAAACTAATTGCATTATGGTCCGATAATGATCTCATGAGCAAAATCTGATTCACAGATGGAAACACCGACAAGAAGTTAAAATCCACTAGAAACCTGTCCAATCTGAAAAATGTTGGATAATCCTTATTATTGCTCCAAGTAAAGTTACCACCCGACATAGGGAGATCATTAAGGCTAGCCTTTTGTACAAACTCATTTAAAATGGTCATTGAGAACCTATTGTGTATCCTCTCCCCATTTTCTCTTCTTCTGACAGGTATGCATTAAAATCTCCTCCCAAACAAATAGGACATTCCAATTGCCACACAAAGTCTAACTACGCCTAAAAAAGATTATTTTTCCATATCAACAGACGGTCCATAAACTTTAATAAACCAACAAGAAATAGACATTTCTTTCAGATTACTTTTAACTGCAATAAACCTGTCATGTACATATTCAGTCTCCACCTCCAATTTACTTTCATCGCAAAGCGTTAACAATCCTCCTGATGACTCGACTGCTGGAGATTTTACAAACCCGTTCAAAAGATTTCCACCCAACCTCCTCCTTAAGGAAGGAATGATACTCTCCAACTTCGTTTCTTGTATGAACATTAACGTTGACCTCTTCCCTACGATGATATTCCTCACAGACCTAGACTTTTCTTTCCTGCCCAACCCCCGCACATTCCACGTTATCATACTAAAACTCGACATAAAAAGAAAAAAAACACCTACTTCCCACAAAAACATCAGAGTCCATCCGCCATCGTCTTTTCCTCAAACACTGCCTTCACATTTTCCATGAAAGCTTTTCTTCCTCCTCGGAACGTAACACCCATCAAGTTGCTTACTTCCCAACTAGCCCGAGCTTCTTCCTCCTCATCCGAACAATGCCCTAAGGACTTTGCTTTTTCCTTCATTTTCTCTCTCGAATTGCTCCTTCCCCTGCTTCTACTATATACTCTCTTATAGAATTTATTTTCGATTTTGCTACTTGACGCCTTCCTTTCTATCGAGCGACCACGATTTGGAGGAGAGCCTACTAACCTGAATTTCTTGCGAGCATCAAGCTTAATTGAACCTCCTTCAATGTATCCTAGAGCAGTCCGCAAGTTGGAAGTATTTTTATTAGGAGAATTATTCTGATAGACCCAATCTCACTATCTCGAATATGCTCGTTATTCTCCTTATTTGAACCCGACAGTTTCTGCATCATTAGGATTTCATAATTGTCCTGATTAGTTATATCCACCTCCACCGAATTTAGATTTCTTGGAACCAATTCCTCAATAATTCTAGTAGCAGAAGCAAGGATGCCACCTGTTAGCAAATCTGGATCACACGGAACCAAGCTCGCCTTGTTCATCACTCCAACCTCTTGGGCAACATCGTCCCTCAAAACCTCAACATCGCATTGATTCTCCGGTGATTCTTCAACCCATTCATCAGAAAAGTCTCCATCGCTCTCATCATTCGTTACCTCTGAATATCCATCAATCGACAGCTTAACTTGGACTTTTATCACTTATAACCTACCATTGGTGTTTATTGAAATTGACTCCGGGAGATCAAACGGACTACCCACCCTAATCAACATCTTCGTTGTTGTGTAGTCCAGCTTCATCAAAGTTTTCTTCCTAATCTCTATTAACTCCCCACGCCGTGAGGCCAAGCTTGAAAAGAAGACCTCATTCCAGCAATTTAGAGGAACTCCGATTAACGAAACTTCACAAAAGGCCAAAGGGCCTCCCCCTTCCGATAATACTTGTCTCAACCAGTTGAACCAATAGTTAAGCTCCAAGGCTTTTTCACTCAGGGCCTTCAACTTGTCCTCCTCCGACAGAAAAGAAACTAGGCAGGAGTTCCTAGCGTACCCCCATTTCGCAACATTAGCGACAATACCTTCACTATACAACGCTCTCTGTATTAATTCCGTGTCGTACTATTGCTTATGAATTCCAGTCATCGACCTCCTTAACCATTTTTTCTCCTCCACCGGCATGAAAACATAATAGGGCTCTTTTGCAGCTCCATCTGGACCATCTCCTCTCATTTGCTTGTTCGACACGAAAACCTATTTGTACGATCTATTATCCCTGAATCTTCTAAATTACTCTTATCCCTTCCTCGAATTTCCTATCGCGCCACCACCAATCTTCTATGTAATCCCCTGAACGTTTTCCTTAACCTCTACCGCCTTCCTAATTCTCTTATATTTGGCGACCCCACAGAAACTCTCAAACCATCAATCCAAGTACCATTGGTTTTCTCAATGGCATTCCTCATATCATTTTCAGTCGCAAATTGGATGAACGCAAGTGTAGAAGTTTTATACCTTGGTTTATTCAAGACATTTGGGATAAAGATCCTAACAACAGGACCACGACACATGAACAAATCCCTTAATTCTCTTTTAGTTACTCTCTTGGAAAGGTTGTTGACAAAAATTGTCCATTCTTCACTAGAGGAGGAACGACTTTTCATACGACATACCGCTCTTTCTCTATTATGCTCACTCATATTAAAACTCAGCAACCAAAACTTAGACTAATGCACCACCCATGGAACAATCACAAGAAAAGTTATCCTGTGCGCAGCCAACCACCAACAATAATGTCGGACGACGAAACCGACTGCAATGGATTACCGATTCAGACAGATTATGAGCGGACAGCAATGAGGAATTAAAATGCAGTTACAGTGTGGCGAAAAAATCAACTGATCTGTCGGAAAAAGGGGAAACAGTACGACGGCTAGGATTCCGACGAAACTTTAACGGCTTTTCTACGGCAGACGGCAGCTCTGTTCGGCAAATCAACAAAGGGGTTTTGGTCGGAATGCACCGGCGTTTCGAATGGGAAGGGCGGTGACTGCACCGCCGGCCGGAGCAAGGAGGATCGGATCCGATGAGAAATGGTCGGTAATGGGTTTTCTAGGGTAGATCTGCGCCGATTTAGTGATTTTCTTTAAAAACTAAGCTTGAAAATGGATTCACTGTGACCAGACGAAGTTCCCTGTTAAAAATGTCGGCGAAAGGTTGTCGGAATGTGGCGGCAGACGACGGACGGTGGACGACGGATGACGGACGACGGACTGACGATGATTGACAGGTGAACGTTGCTTGCAGTGATGGAATATACCTGACAAAAAGCTTTAAGAAATTCAAAGTGATTAGAAATATGGTAGTTTGAGTTCAAATTCGTAAATGACTACAATAATGCTATTTGTTTCTGTGAGGGAAAACAATGAGTACATTATTAAAGTTAATCATATCATCTATCATGTCTGATTGTAAATTATCACTGCTAGACGTCTTTAGGCACTGAAAATCAACCTTCAAAATATGTATCACGAGTATAAAAGCTTGCTGATTGACAAGTTAAATTTTTTCTGCTTTCTTCACATTGAGTAGCAGCTCCGTTATGGTGGAACATTCTGGTTTTTACTTGCTAGGCATATTGACAATTATTTAACTTTTAAGTGCTTCTAGATGTAAAATAGAAAACAATGATTGCGTTGTTCTTTATTTTCCCTTTTCTCATGCGGTCTGAGGACTACACTAATTGCAATTCCTTTTTTTCCTGTAATAGACGTGCGTCCTTGTGAGTATTGAAACTTATTGATATTCTAATGGAATCAGATTAAGATATCAGTGAGAGTGATTATATTATCCTAAGTTAGTGTCAAGTACCGGGGTATAATATAACATTAAAGTGCACTTCTTGGTAGGTGTTATTATTACAACTTTGGTTTTATTTGATTAACTGTACAAAATTTTAACCCCAGAATATGAAGCCCCCAATTTTTTTTTTCTCATGAAGTGATGAAACCTAGTTCCATAGCATATTCAATGCATTTGAACACAAAATTTCATTTTATTTCAGATAAAATTAAGCCTTCTGATGTGGGTCTGGAACAGGAGGTGCAGGTGGTACGTAATTGGTCTGGTCCTGTAAATGAGCGGAATGGAAGCCATCCGTCATTGTCTCCAATCAAGTATATGCACTTGCACGAGTGTGATAACTTCTCTGTAAGCACAAACTTTATGTTACCTATCACCATTATTTGTGAAGATATTTACTTACTATTGAGGACATAACATTTTAGAGTTTTAAAAGCGAGGAAGTTGCATTTAGCTGGAAATGTCCTAGAATTGATTAAAATGAACACATACCTCGAAAATAAATTTAAACTTTTAAAATTGAAGTTGCATTACTAGCTATCATCAGGCCTTCATTTTTTTCTCTTTCTCTGCAGATAAGATTTTTTTGTATGGCACCTTCCTCTATCATACCTCTGAACTATCATCCAGGAATGACAGTGCTTAGCAGGCTTATCTATGGCTCATTACACGTAAAGTCATATGATTGGCTTGACCCAACAGAGCTTGAAGATCCACTACAAGGTGTGTGTTTTCTTACATATTTTTGTGTCTTCGATGCATGTTGCATGTTAACTAAACCATAACCGAGGATGTCCATAAAATAATATGTTCTTATGTATAATTTTGATAGCAAATTTATATGTTTGTTTCCCGTTGACCCATTAATGATAGCATCCTTTATATTCCTTGAAACATTATGAATCCCATTTTTAATAATTATTCTTTTCTAAATACCTTTGTTTTAGGGGTTTTTTTTCCTGGTAATTTGTTCCAGAAGATTTAGTACATAAAGTTCTGTTAATCTTCTGATGTTAGAAATCCTATGTAACTGCCGTTCTTCCCAAATATATATTATAAGATTAGTATTCATATAAGACTTGATAGCGAAATGAACTTCCATTTAAATCTATATTTGCTTTGTGATATACAGCTTTTCTTGTATAAGCTGCATTTAATTTAGTTATGTGCTGGTATTTTTTGTTGTTGAAAATAACAGAAAATATTTTGTGATCAAAATTAACTTGATTGAAATGTTGGTTGGAATAAGAGGAAGAAGACATAGGTAAAGTGTACCCGTCGGTGGCTGTCTCTTTGTTACATCTAATGACAGTTTAAATATGGTAGATGTGAAGAGCCTTTTTGCTAGCATCTAAGGAAGTGAGAGGCCTATTCAATTCTTAATCTTTGTGTAGATGTAGTTACTTCCTGCATATTGAGAATGCTAGTGACATATCTCAACTGGTTTGGTGAAATATTTGGAGGCTCCTGTACTTAGCTAGGGATGTGTACAGTTATATTCAATTGGAACTTTCATATATATAAAAAGGAAACAAAAAAACTGTTTGAAAGCAAACCAGAACAAATTAATGACTATGGAAGCCAACTGAAGCTTATCTTTTGACCTTTGATGAGATTTCAACCGAGTTCTGCGTGGGTTTCATATTACAAATTTTAATGGAATTTGGTATCGTCCAAATATTTCGACCCTAAAGAGAATGAACAGAGGATGGGGTTGGTTTGGTTGCGTGGTGGTAGTAGGTGGTGGTGCCACAATTGAGCTATTTCAGTGGCCAAAAAGATTGTGGCCTTGAATTAGCATAGATACCTAGGCTTTCCAAATGGTGATATTGTGACTGTCAGACTACTTGATTGGTAGTTGCGATGCTGGATGAAATTCTACCACTCTGTTGTTCTTGTGAATGCCTGGTGTTGTCAGCATTGAGAACAATTGAGTTGGAGTCCATATTTAGAGAGTTACCTCATCTATATCACAACGAAACTACTACTGGAAAAGTATGCCAATAAACTGAAATTACAAAAACAACAAACTAACTAAATAGCTAAAATAAAGGAAATCAAATGAAAAGAGATCAGCCTTATAAGATACCAGGGTACATCTGTTAGACCCCCAATTCAAATTAGAATAATTCACTGAAACAGGGATACAGAGATGTGTCGGTTGTAAATTTAGAGTCAAATAGTTTCTTCTTAAGGTACATTTATTTGATTTCAACTTGGTGCTCACAAAGTGAGTGCAGGGAATTTGATGAAGAAACTTGCTAATGAAGTAATGTTACTATTCAATTGAGGTGTTTTATGATGTAATCTGACATTTCATGGGGTGGCTCCCCAGTGAATGCTTCTTTTATTTATTTAATATTTAATTAATTTATTTTGCTTGATGTCTGGTTTGCTTAGCATGCAAAATGGAGAGGAAGCTTTTGAACATATGGGATCAAATAAATAGGACGTATTAAATCTGGACTAGATCTTTTTCTGATTAGCTGAGATCTGTCTCCATTTGTGACTAATTTAGTGGCTTTTCAACAGATGTAGTAATATTGATAATTTATTCATAGAGAAAGGATTGAGATATCTCTGATTTTGAATGATGCATGTTCTCTTCACCCTTCCAAGAGTATAGGGAACTAATTATATAATCTTCAATCTTTGACTTGGATTTTCTTATTCTTGGTGGTTTGTAGCAAGAGCTGCAAAGCTTGTCAAGGGTACTGAGATGACAGCTCCTTGTGCGACAACAGTGCTTTATCCCACAAGAGGAGGCAACATTCATTGTTTCAGGACACGGACTCCCTGTGCCAATTTTTTATGTTTTATCTCCATCTTACTCTTCGGAGCATGGATGACACTGCACTTACTTCCAGAGATCCCCAAGAAAGGATTTACCTGGTAAGAAATATAGTTTTGAACCTAGTTAACAATGGTAAGGCTCTAAAATATGCTGAGACATGAAGATGAATGCAGCATGCTAGTTTCTTATTCATTTGCTTGTTTAAAATGAAGGCGAGATCAAAACGAATGAAGAGACGTTCTCCGAAGTGACTTGGTTAGAAGAGTTTCAGCCTCCTGTCTACTTTGTGATTCGGAGAGGGCTGTACAAGGGTCCTGTTATTAGAACTTGAAATATTCTTGTACCATGCATCCAATATTCTTAATGAACTACACCAATGCAAACCTGCGATTTCACTGACCTCACATTTTGTTAGTGGGACAGGGTAAGTTGAGAGGAACTTGGCACATAATGACTTTTCTTTTTTGCTTTGTTCATTTCAATTTGTTTGCCGAATGGTAATGAGAGTTCGTGATTATATCTTGTTTGTTGCCTCTTTGTGGTAATATAAACGCAAGCACGCATACATGTTCGATTTTTATCTTCCAATCCCTTTGGAGGAGACTCCTCACTTCCAGGTTATCGACCTCAGCACCATCCTCCTGACAGTCCCTTAAGGACCCCCCAACGTTCAGCCTCTAATGCCGAACACGAACATATTGATTTAAAAAATCCCATCATCTATCGACCTCGTTTCGCGGCACATCTCTTCAAGAAGCCATTCGATTTGCCCTATTGCTAGTACTGATGTTCAGCTTCAACCATCCTATCGGAGGCGGCTGCCATCGAGCTTCACGTCTTTCCAAAAGTTGATGCTCTCGCCATCCTTTAAATCAAAATCATTTACATTATTCTAGTCATTTTTTGTGGGCTGCGACATCGGCCTTGGTGCTGGTTGTTGTCGTCGGTATTTTTTTCCATTTCATATCATTGTTTTTCTTTATTTCTAATGACTCCGTGTTTGCGGCAATATTTTCTTTGTATTTTGGCACGCTTTTTTTTTTTAGATTGTTTGTTGTTTATTTTTCAGGGTTGAATTTAATGTCATCACGACTAATCAAGATGACGCTATTTTGTTATATCGCTGATCTTCCCTGCTTTGGATCCTCGAATTGGATTTGAATACGTAACGATCGTAAATAGTTATCTCATGATACTCGACTCTGCTTTACGTTTTGTCGGTGGTGTTTCGGTAGTTTAATCTTTTGTCGTGGTTCATTTACTGTAACGGTGAGATCTGTTCATATCTACCTTTTGCTCGAGTTTATTTGGATGAGACTTTCACATTTTCCTTGTATAGTCCTTATATGATCTTGAAGCAATGTTTCATTTATTATTTTTTTAACGATATATAATAAGACTGATTTAAAGAAAACTCATTTTCAGATTTAATAACTATAGCCCTTAGAATTATATCTGCCTCACTCTAAACAATCATTTCAATTTTGGTTGATAAAGAATTTTAAGTTTCATTAATGGTTGCAATATGTATACTAAAGTCAGCATGCCATACATATACAAAATTATGATGACACATTATGGATTAAAGTTTTAAAGGTACACACATGCATTAATACTATTAACCAAAAAAACTATAATAAAAAATAGTTTTATGAAAAAAATTTATGTCACTGTTTAAAAATTTGTTTGAGACGATACAAAAAAAATGCTCGAGTTTGCATATTTTTTCCTCAAAGTGCCACAAAACCCGTAGGTTTCTCCAAGTAAATTTTCTCATGTGTCACACCATTCAAAAAACCAATTTTGGCTCATGCTATGTACAGGCTCATCTAAAAATATATATAGGTTTTGCGCTATTTTTTAAAATAAGACCTCTACAATATTTTATAATAAGGATTATTTTGTCAAATTTAAAATTATGAGGGATCTACAAGATCTTTTTACTAAGATTAATCATGAAAAAAGATTAAAGATACTATCAAAATCTTCGTTTGTAACTTTTTCTCCCACTTTCCCGAAAACCAAACGAAAAATTTATTTTCACTTCGAAAAAATGATATTTGGACACAAATATTGTATATTAACGGACATGAATATCATTCAAGTGTAGGACCCCTTAAGTTTTGGGGTCCTGTAACATTTCACAAGCCACGTGTCGACAGTCATTTTCGTCCGAGACTATATATTACAATTATTATTATTATTATTACAAATATTACAAAACCGGGGCCCAGTTACAAATGAAGACCTGAAGGCCCAAGACCCGTACCAGGCCTAAAATCAAAGCAAACTCGAGAAGCCCAAACCCGATTAGGGTTTTCACGTCTCATCTCAGCCGCCAGCATCTACAACCATTGGATCTGGAGGGATCCAACGGTCCATATCCAATCTAGAAGAAACTCTAGGGTTCATCAACCCTAGAGATATTCCGGCCACCGCCTCCAGGTACCGTCCATGGTCCCTATATTCTATAATCTTCCATTATAGTCACCAAAATCAAGTTCTTATATCTTTTAATTTTGTCTTCACATTTTATTTATTTTTATTTTAGTCACCACCCGTATATTTACATATATTTAAATAATATTTTAGGATTATTTACACTTTTAATATATATATTTTATAATATTTCAAATATTGACCAATAATTTATATATTTTTTAATTTAATCCTATATTATTATTTTGGTTAATTATTTAATTGCAACTTTATTTTATTTTTATTATTATCTTTTATGTTTAAAATAAAATAATGAATAATTAAAAATAAAAAAGACACAAAAGTAATACCATTATTAAAAGTAATAATAAAAATTAGAAAGTGGAGCACTATAATTATGGATGTTTCATTTTAAAATGTATTTACATGTCCACTAAGTTTTGTCCGCAAATATTTTAATAAACCCACGTTTTTTATTTTAATTAATTATAATGCTTCATTTTATTTTATTTTCTTGAAATATGTATTTTATTCTCTTAATTTTAATATTTCTAATATTTTCATATTATTAGAGGATTATTTACAACTATAGTACTTTGCATATTAAGTAGTTGTAATAGTAACCTTAATATTTATATTTTCTTGATTAAATCATTAAAATTATAATATGTAATTGGGTTATATTATTTTATACAATAAGTCATAAAATATTTTCTTAACTGTTTAGGAAAGTATTTTAAAAGATTTGTTGCTATAAAATAATATCCTTAATATTTTCATGGGATCATAAATTGAAATAAAATACAAATTTGTTAATTTATTGCAAAGACATTAATTAATAAACAAAGATACCAATTTTGGGCGTTGTGGGGGTGATAATCCTTCCCCACACGTAACCGACTCCCGAATTCATTTTCTGGTAAGCAGACCCTTTTTATGTTATTTTAATATTATTTTTATAAATTTTATTAAGATAACATAACATTTTTGGTGACCAATCACACCTCGATAAAATGATTGGTGGCGACTCCACAAATTGTGTTTTATCTTATACCAGAAGAAAAACACTTACTTTTCGAGACGAGATTTAGAAAGCAACGACACTTGTTTTCACCGGGCGAAAAACTGTCTCGACAGCTTAGCGACTCCGCTGGGGACATTTTTTTAAAGTGAGTCAAGCCATCAGTTTATTAATTAATTGTCTTTGCAATAAATTTAAATTTGTTTTAATCTAGTTTTTTCCCTTGATTATTTTAATAACCATTTTCTGTATAAATAATTGTACTAATTAATTGTCTTTTTATGTTTTTCCTCACATACTGAGCATTGCATTCATGACATGAGCTAAAACCCCGCTCTTATCCTATTTAGCTTGAATGATAAACTACTCCCTCGTGTGGTTTTCACCTCCGTATGGGATAGGTGACCATTCTTCGAGCTCACACCTTATTTTCCTCGTGTGGTTTTCACCTCCGTATGGACATAAGGAAGTGTGTTCCTTCGATTTGAACTTAATCCGAAAGTCTGTAATGGACCATGATTGAGGGTTTGGCAGTCCAAGGGGACACCAACAAAGGACAATTCGTTGACCTTTTTTACCCTAGAGCCAAAACCCAACATATAATAAAGCCTAGAACTGGAGTCTAGGTGGAGCCTAATCTGATTGAGTTTTGTAAGATTAAGTACACAAGGAAAAACATGTTGTGCCTTTCAATTTACGCATTATTACTTTATTTTCTGAATAAATGCATGCAAACTAGAAATCATGCGGTTTAGGTTATTTTTCCAAGACAAAGTATGTAACTAGAAAGCATGAGGTTAGGATATGATTTTTCTTACTAACCAGTTTTGTATATATTCTGAAAATGCATATATTAATTGTTTTGTTTGCATTTGCATAATCATGACATATTCAAGGGTGTTGATTCAAGAGTGGTTATCAGAATTAAAGGTATTCATTATGAACAAAAAGTTTCATGATCAAATAAACTGTGATGCAGCCAAAGAAGGATATCTTGAGGAAGCTTTTAAAATCATGGAGGGGTATGCACATAAAAATCCTGTTAGATTGGTACCGAAAGCTTTTTATGGTAAAAGCATCAATAGGAGCAGTTACAAGGGAGAGAATTTTTATGAAACTCAAGCCCGTTTTGGAAAGACAAAAATAAGAAATTGAGAACAGAGGTTGAAGTCATGCTTGACGATTTCCGAAAAGTCAGTCAAACCTTTAAAGATGTTGGACTAGGAAATACTCCTGAAGAATGGATGACAGAAATTATTAAATTAATGTGTGATGCTGAGTATTGGAAAAAGATACATGAAGATCAAACAAAGAAATTCTCCTATGATTTTCAAATTGTTGAAGAAATGTACAACGCAACCATCACCAATTTAGAAAGATGTCAAGCTGAAAACCAGATATTGAAGAAGGATGTAGCCAACATGGAAACTTCATATCTAATTCGTCAAAACAAGATTGATGCTGAACTAAAAGTTATTAGAATTCAGAACCACACATTACTGAAAATGGTGGATGATTATGGAGATCTGGTACAAAAACTCATTGAACATAAATGTTCATTGATAAAGGAAAATGAGCAATATTGTCTGCAAATCCAAGAATTAACATGCAAGATGAAGGAAAAAGACAATGTCATGGAAGAAGTTGTTGTCCAGACAAGCAATATGGCTCATAAGCTGATAGACTTAGCTGACTTTACACGGAATTGAAACAAATTGATAACTCAACTTTTGAGCATGAATGGAAACTAACTTGGCTTTAGAGAAGTTAGGAGTAAAAGTTTTCCCTATATGTAAAGTTTTGTTTGATGTACCGAAACTTTTATGTTCAATGAAGGCTGTTTTAAGATGATCACTCTTGAGTAACACCTTTTTCATACATGCATTTGCATTTTGCATCTTTGCATTCATATTTTTATGTTTTCTTTTACATTGCACAATTTGCATTCTTATTTTTGTATTTCTACATTTTTTGCATTTTCATTCACATATTTGCAGTTGCATTCGCATTC